CACACACACACACACACACACACACACACACACACACACACCTGCTAACGTACAGAAAACCACTCTGCAGTTTCTAAGGAAATGGAGTTGAACCAGCATCTGTGGGTGGCTGTGAGAGGGGGGACTTTTCTTAAATCGTGCTCACACATCATTGAAGCATAGCACCTTCCTGCCTGAGGTGTGAATGCGTGCATTCAAGAAAAACAGACGAACAGCAGCCGAGTCAGCTGAATGCTGCTCTCCAGCGGTACATTTAGTTTCTCTGACCTGTAATGGTCGGCCCTTGCACCATTTCTCTGAACTGTTAATGCTGTTAACACATCTCCAAGTTCTATATTTAAGGCAAAATGCAGGCATTTTATAATTGAACATAGTGTCATTTATTTTCAAAAGCCATTCCATATTACTAAATTTCCATTTGAAATCTCCAAAATCAGACAGTGAAAGGTACATAACAGCCCGCCTGGAGTTTGCCAGAAATCAGCTAAAGGACTCTCAGATCTCTGACTCTCTGGCCTGAATACCGAGCGCCATGTCTGGAGTAAACAAAAGTAGTCAAAATCACCCCTACAGTGAAGCACGATGGTGGCTGCATCATTGTGGGGATGTTTCCCAGCATCAGGAACTGGGATACTCATCTGGGTCAAAGGAGGGATGAATGCAGAAATACACAGACACATCCTTGATGATAACCTACTCTAGCGCTCCGAACCTCAGTTTGTGAAAACTGCATCTATCTGGATGCACCATATGCTCAGATGTCACTCTTTGTGTTCTCCACAGGGTGGCGATGAAGAGCACAGAGCTGCTCTACCTGTATGGAGAGCTGGACCCTCGGGTGCGCAGCCTGGTGTTCACTGTACGCTGCTGGGCCCGAGCTCACGGAGTCACCAGCAGCATCCCCGGGGCCTGGATCACCAACTTCTCCCTCACTGTCATGGTGCTGTTCTTCCTGCAGAAGAGGACTCCTCCCATCATCCCCACACTGGACCACCTGCGGGACCTCGCAGGTACCATCCAGCACTCACACAGCGGACCTCTGAGAATTTGTTAATAAGTTTCAAAGTTTCAGTAGTGTTTTAGTTAATAACATTAAGAGTTTTGCTTTTTTCTATTCTTAACAATCACTCTAAGCGTAGCATTTCAGAGCCCAACACAACAGTCTCGTTCTTCATGCTTCAAAAACAGTGTACTTTCCAATCTTAAGCAAACACGCGTTCACTAGAAAACATCTTTCTTATTTAAGTGTCAGGCAAAAAACAAGAAGTTCATAAATTAATAATGCCTTTTTTTTTTCTTCACACGTTGCTTACTAACTGTTCCCTAAAATATAAATGCAACCACCGAGTACACTAGCGGCAGTGTGGGGTGGGGGTTTTCTCTGTACAGCTGTAGTCACACTCACAAATATACCTTGGTCAATTAGTTACTTAGAAATGAAAAATGTCATAAATGATTCAACAAAAACTTTTGGTGTTAAGGAAGTTAGATTTTCAGTGTAAGATACCTGCTTTGAGGACAGTCCCAGTGCACGTGTGAAAAGGTTCCAATTAACTGAGTCAGAGTAAAATTCACGCAGCAGGGAGGAGGTGAACAAAGTAAGAGCAGCAGTCCCCACTCCATGAATATTGTGTTTCCTGGCAAATAAAGGCAAGAAAAGCACCAAATTGTAAAATTTTGCTGAATTCAGGAAGCAAATAACACATTTTGGAAGTAACAAGAATTCTCATTTCCAGCTGGTTGGGGTGATTTTCTCTGGGAAAGCAAGGGGAAAGTCTTTTCTGTCTGTAACCATGTTTAAGCACCTCTGGACACTTTGAGCTTTATTTGTTTATAGAAATACATACATGGAATCTCCAGTTAAATTGGATGAAAACAGCTTGAAAAATTCACTGACTTCATTCACGGACGTTGTACTTCTAGCACCATTTTTGCTGTCGTGGAATTCCGGATCCTTCTCTCATAACATCTCCAGTGACTATTTGTTCACCTCTAATGAACCATCTATTTACAAAAGAAGTGATGAACAACACGAGATGTTGTTGAAACAACTGCAGTTTAAACAGTGTCTTTTAAATGACATCAAACAATTCAAACGATTTTTTCTTTCCACACGTTTTTATGCCTTTGTAGTAATCCGGGCATCCACTCACCACTGAGGGTCCTAATATCTTTATTGCAGCTTTCACACTCGTGAAGCCACCCGGTGGTCTAGATTGGACCTTTTGAACTTGTGGAGGGATAATTAATGGTGTCCTGTTACTGCTGCTTTCAGTGACTGAGGTGTGTGTTGGATTCTGCAGCATGCAGACCCATTGCTTTCTGGGCCTCTTCTCCCATGGCAGAGGCCCCCTCGGCCTGGCAGGGACCAGCAGCTGCCTTTGCAAGACGTGCTAAAACACTTGCGTTTTCCAGGTCATAGACAAAGCCCAGTTATCTGCTAATGTATGTATTCTTTAGCAGACAGGGCACAACCATATCACAATCAAGTTGATCTGGTAAACCAAGCTTGATGACTTGTTAAGTATTGGTCCACCTGCTATGCCCACTTCAGATAAAGAGAGGCGTTGTCCTTGTGGGGTCCTCAGCCTGAGCATAGGTGCCATTGCCATGCAGCATAATTGTGTTCAATGCATCTTTGCTGTGTCCATGACTTTCAAATTTAACTGTAGCCAAGAGCAGCATTTCAATGTCAGGTGTGACCCTGCAACACTGAGTACAACACACATCCTTCATCTACAGCCCTGGAGACTGTTCACTTGTTTTATTTAATACTCAGCATCCTGGGAAAGCCTTCCAGCCATCCATCTTATTACCATGTATATATGTGTTAGGAATGTTTAACCCAGTGTCCTTTTCTAATAGAACTGCCGTCACACCAATCTGCCCGCAAGTCCACTCGCCTCCCTCTGCCCCTCTTTCTGTCACCTTGGCTGCCTGATAATTGCCTTCCAAAAGCAATCTAACCTCACCTCCTCCCCTCCTCTCCTTCCTCTTCCTCCTCGGCACACCATTTAGCGCGGACTCTATCACACAGAGTGCTTACAGGACAATAAAAGGCCCATCACTCTGGGAAGGTCAATGACCCACCTCCTCTAGACACACACACACACATGTGCGCTTCCAGGCAGTTATTTAAACAGCAGTATAACACACTAACACACACACACACACACACACACACACACACACACACACACACACACACACACACACACACACACACACAC